TGTATATGATCATGATTAAAGATCTACATTGCATATGTATATTTATGAACAATTTCAAATATTATATCTTATTTGATAGTGTGATAAAATTCTACATATATAAGTTTAATATGTAATATCGTATTATTCTAAAAAAAAATCTGTATTTTTCTTATAGATACAGTGGCTCTTACGATATTATTAAAAACCAATTTTTACAACTTTGTCGAAAAGAATCGCTATTGTTACGATAATGTATATGTATATGATTTATACAGAAAGATACGTTTATTAACATGCGAGTTCGTGACACGTCAGATATGTACATTTAAGCTATTAAAAAGTATACATATACGTATTTCGAATCGTTTAGACAAAAATATATTTGTAAATATGTATATATTGTTATGGTTTAACATAGAATTAAGGTGAGAATAAGAAACATTTTAGACTGAGTGTAATTCTATACATTATACTTATAATTTTTTCTGCATCTGATATAGGTTAACAGGCAACGTTCGAACGTAACCATACCTTCATTGGGTTAGAATTTATATAAATTATAAAAATGTTACGAAGGCGGAAAGTTAACATTAAAACTGTTAAAGAATTGGATGCATTTCCGAAAGTTCTTGAACCATATGTTGATAAAACTGTAGTTGGAGGGACTTGTAAGTTTTCTACTTATACATACATAACTTAATTAATATTTTATTTTTTTACATGTACAACCATAAACTATTGTATATTTGATTTGCAGTTTCAATATTTACAATCTGCATCATTGCTTATTTAATTATAGCAGAAACAAGTTATTACCTTGATAGCAGATTACAATTTAAATTTGAGCCAGACACAGACATCGATGCAAAATTACAAATAAATATTGATATAACAGTTGCAATGCCATGTGGTTATATTGGTGCAGATGTTTTAGATTCTATGAATCAAAATGTGATAGGTCACCAAACGCTGGAAGAGGAAGACACATGGTGGGAATTAACACAAGAACAGAGATCCCATTTTGAAGCTTTAAAGCATATGAATTCATATTTGAGAGAAGAATATCATGCCATACATGAGCTATTATGGAAATCGAATCAAGTTACATTATATAGTGAGATGCCAAAGAGAATGCACGAACCCAGTTATGCACCAAATGCGTGTCGTGTCCATGGCAGTTTAAATGTAAACAAAGTTGCTGGAAATTTTCATATTACACTTGGAAAGTCATTGTCCCTTCCTAGAGGACATATTCACATTTCAGCTTTTATGACTGATAAACATTATAATTTTACTCATAGAATAAATAAATTTTCATTTGGAGGACCCAGTCCTGGTATTGTTCACCCATTAGAGGGAGATGAAAAAATTGCAGATGATAGTAAGTTGTTGTTGTTGTTACAACATCTGAAACATAAATTTTATAATAAACATGTTTATTCAACGTGAAACTTCCTTTTAGTTATGATTTTGTATCAGTATTTTGTGGAAGTAGTTCCCACTGACATACAAACTTTATTAAGTACATCTAAAACGTATCAATATAGTGTGAAAGATCATCAAAGACCAATTGATCACCAGAAAGGATCTCATGGAATTCCAGGAATCTTCTTTAAATATGACATGAGTGCACTTAAAATAAAAGTCACTCAACAACGTGATACAATATGTCAATTTTTAGTAAAATTATGTGCTACAATTGGAGGCATTTTTGTAACAAGTGGTAAATACTCCCCTCTTTATATTTTAGAGAAGAGTATTAATAATATTTGTAATGCAATCATTTTTTATAGGATTGATGAAGAATATTGTACAGAGCTTCTGGTACATTGTATATTGTAAGTTTCTGTCTCCTAAGGAAGATAAAAATAATAAAAAATATCCGAATTCCAGTGGACAAAATCATAGAGTGACTGGAACAATAAATCTACTGAATGTTTCAGCACCCGAATGTGTAAATATAACGCTTAAGCCACAACCAATCTAATTTTTTACAATTTTTTAGGTATATTACAAAGCGCTATTAAATTCTTAATAATACGAAGTGAAAATTGCCATGAATAGTACATTTGTAATCATCTTGTACAGATTAATGAAAATAATAATAACTTTGTACTCATGCGTTGTTTCTTTGTTTCTTTATAAAGCTGTTTTTGCTAGGAATATATTATAATTTTTTATTGCAAATTCTATAATATGTAACATGTTAATTGAAGGATTTCATTTTTTGCGTAAAAACATGAATTATGTATATGAAAATGCAAGAAGTTTTTCCTGTCATAGTATTTTCTCCCAGTAGAATAATTTATTTCATAATTATGTACGAGAAAGAAATATATGTATGTACAACATTGTATCAGAAAAGTTTGATCGAAACATAATAATGACGTATATGTAATTCATGGTTGTTAAATCAATCGTGTTATTTGTAGCAAACGCATTGGTCGATCGGAAATCTTCGCATGCGCTTCACGGAACTATTCGACAGTATTCGACGGAACCAAATTCATTTCACATACCGAAAGGAGCGAGGAGACGATTTATTTAATAATGGCTGATATCAAACAGGATCACAAAGGTGAGGATACCGACAATTATGGAATGGGTAACAGTGCTGATCCAAAAAATATGCAAGAACTAACGCAATACGTGAGTTGAATGGAAAGATTTATTGTTGTGACATTCGTAATGTAGACAATTCGATGTTTATTATCTTCCTTCTCATTTTATTTTATTTCATTTTTAGGTACAAACGCTGTTACAAAATATGCAAGATAAATTTCAAACCATGTCAGACCAAATACTTGGGAGAAATATCCTTTTTACGTAAAATAAGTGCATTTCCTTAAATAACCTCAAAGATAAGAATCTGTACACCCCATTACTTTGGTGCACCTAAATGTCAATTACGTATTTATTAATAATTGAGCTTATTTAGGGAAATGAATTTTAATTAATCGCATGAATTCTGTGAATCAAGTACATTAACGTAATTACATCCTTAACAAAGAAACAATAGATGAAATGGGAAACAGAATAGACGATCTTGAAAAAAATATTGCAGATTTAATGACACAGGCTGGCGTGGAAGGAGGTGATAAATAATTACATTTATTTAAAACATAACTTTGATATTTAAAGAGGAAAATCTGCATTGACATTATCACGCGATGATCGCACGGAAACAATATTTATATGACTTTGAAATGACTCTTTTGGTTACTAAAAAATAAAGTAACACTTTTTACAACAACATGACCAATATAATTCTTCTTTTTATACATAACTATTATAAGATGTGCTTTACTAATATATGGTAAAATAAAGTGTATTAATCAGGATTTATGGTCATAGGCATTGTTAAGGACTTTTGATATGCAGGAATGGGTGGCACTGCTTTAAATACAAGACATTTTAAGGCTTTGCGACCAGTACCTGCATGCAACCTGATCTGAAATTACATAAAATGTACAAGTGTAGATAAATGACTAATAATTACATAGACTTATGCCTAGTTCTCACAGAACTGTCTTCAGAACTGTCTCCATATTCTTCAATTTGTACAGACTCGGAAGAATTTGTTTTCGAGCTTGATTTTGCAGAATCCTATAAAACAGTGCAAATTTTTGTAATTATTGACTATTGATCTGTAATTATAATTAACTTACTATAGAATCCGCGGTATGACTAACTAATTTTTGTGGAATCATGGAGGATGATGTGAAACGACTGGCCAAATTAGTAAGGGAGTATGCTTGTCTGAACGAATTTCTTCCAACGGTTGATAATCTAGTGATGGAATCAGGTAACCGCATCGTTTCCCGAAATTCCTAGTTAAATAAGCAATTATTTAAAATACTGTGAAATATTATTTTCGAAATATTTCTATCGTAAGCTTAAATCGATAAAATGATTGCGTTGATTGCACAAGAATTTACCCCGCTCATATTTCCTCTAATCGTTTGAAAGTCCTGTGAGAATATTAAAATGTTTCCTAAAGTTTAGTTATTTGTATCGTTATAAGATAATGAAACCATATGATACTGTATATTTCAATGAAACTGTACTTCACAAGTGACAACTCACCTCTAAATCTTTGGTTTCGTCGACTTCGGCAATATCCTGATAAGCTTTTGTCAGCAATTCGAGAGACTTGGCATGGAAACTTAACTCGATCACAACGAAATCTAAAAGTACAGTTTTCAAATCGTGCAGTTTTCGTTTTTCAAACGAGTCAATTTGTTCTTCTAAGCTCTTGACTACCCTTGAAACTTCAACGGATGCTTTCATTAGCTCCGATTCGGCTTGAGACTGTGTTAATTTATTAAGGACTCACGATAGCTCGTACATTTATTTGAAAACCGTTTCAACAAGGATACAATCATTTGCCTATTTCTAGGATTTCGTTCTCGGAGTCTGTCGAGATGCCTCTTTCTCGTCAATTCTTTATCGCGAGCTGTGAACGTATTTTTAACGTCGTCGCGTGCATGTTTGCAGATTGTTGCATATTGAGAAAGGGGTGCAACTATTTTCGCATCGAATCGTTGTACCTCGGCGTCTCTGATAAGAAGAAATATCAGTCAATAAACTATTATTTGTACTTAATCTTTTCGATGTTTAACGCCGTATACCTGTAATCTCCTATTACCGATAACGTTGTGGAGAAATTCGTTAATCCCGTTGTCAATGATCGATTAACAGTTTCTGATTGCGCGTATACTTGTATCGCCTTCGCAACGTCATCGCCCTTGTCGCGTAATCTGTAAAAAAGTAACGAATAGATAGAACATGTAAAATAATCGATATAAAAACACACGTTCATTAATTACAAACCTTGCGGCTTTTCTCGTGTACGCTGCAAATGATGTACACAATTCGGCAAAGTGTTTTTCCACATTGGAAATGCGGTCTTGCACAAATTTTGCTTCGCGTTCCCTGAAGAAGTGTAAGAAATGAGCGCGATCAATTAAATTGTTCAATGAAAAACATTGCGAAGTATTCAAATAATTACCACACGTTTCCTTGAGATCTCGAGCGCAGCATTTTGTCTTTCGCAATGTTTCTACTTCTCTTGTAGAAATTGGAAAAGATCGCTTTACGTAAATAGCTACCTTTGCTTTTCACTTTCCGCTACCCTTAACTCACCCTGGTGATAGTTTACTGTTGGCAGGTGGTGCAATGTGACCGCAGGTGAGGTCGATTTTAATCTATACTTCGTTCACTCTAACTATCTTTTATGTTTTCTTACCTGTCCACCTGTTCTAAAAAAAAAAGTGTTATTCCTTTCTTCTACATTTCGCTCGATGATGAATTATCGTTGGAATACGAATCCAGTGGTTGAGCTTTGGACAGTATGCTGTTTATTTGTACATTCATATGTTACAATTTTACATGAACGAACGTAGCGTTAAATATGCAATATACAAATATGATGTGCAGCGCGACTATCCGCTGAGCGTTCCAGCCGATCGAGCGAATTCATCCCTCATCGTTAAAAAAGAACATGGTTGTGGAGGAATGTCGGTATTCTGGCCCAACTGAGCATATATATAAATAGCATCTTTACCATTTTATTATTTTTTATTGTATTTCGGTTATTAGTATTTTTATTATTTTTTATTGTATTTCGGTTATTAGTATTTCGCATGTTCGATCTGAACGAGGAAAAGCTAGTTATTTAATTACGGTTAAACGTCCGTATTTTCCATGAACATATAAACCGTATTGTTGAAAGTCTGACGCTATCTGGTGAGGATTATACCTATTTCTCCTCTGTCATTTAAGCCTGCCACTAAAACTTTATGACACCCGATGACTAGAGCGGTGTACCTGAACATGTGCAACCTTCAGGTACGTGCACGTACATCGCTGCTCGGATGTATGTACCCCTAATTATCCGAAACATTCCAAGCACCATAAAAGTATGGTGCCGTCTATTCTCAACACGGACTAAGGATTTCAGCTACAAGTTGTATCCGCGACCACTCTTCCTGTCTTTGTGCCTTTCCGGAAAGTGAATGCCTCCTCACTTACAGGAGATCCAGCTTATCTTTTATTGCTCCAGCCGCAGAAATTCACCTAGCCATCATAAACAAATATTAACGTTTAGCTTTCACCATCGGTCATTTAATAATATTTCTCGGGTTTAACGAGGACAAGCAACTCGGACCCCTTGCTTGAATTGTCCTTGAGAATTATCCTACAGAATAAATATTGTACAGGGTGGAATATTTAGAATGTACATATATGAGCCGTTTATTTTGAAAGTGGCATAAGTCACTTTGTTTTTATGTCGATATATTTAAGGGTTTGCGTTTTAACACGTTTAAAAATATGGATGCTAACTTTCGAGAAGATTTACTTGTATTTGTTATCTCAGGATACTGGTATTTTTCTCAGTATAAATAATTTCGTATAAACATTACAAAATCACCACTTTTCATTACGGTAAAGTGACTTAAGCCACTTTCAAAATAAATAGTTTAGAAAAATGACTGACATATATTAATTTTGTCCGACG